ATATATCCAAAACCTTCTCCTTTACACCACTCCTTTAGCCACATATTGAATTGTGCTATACGCTGGCCTTTTCCATTTTGGTTCTTATACACTGGTAAGACCTCTGAAAAAATAAGCCTACAGCCTATTCTGCTAAGTTCCTGCCCCAGGCTCTGGAAGTCATTCTGCACAGTGAGTACATCTTTTTGGGACAGATCGTTAGTGCCAAGATGTACAATAGCCTCCACATCACAGTCCTTGCTGGCATTCTTGAATATTTTACAAATACGTTTCTTGTCCCTACTGGCAGTAGCACCTGGAAGACACCTGACCTCATTCAAAACCTCTGTGTACTTTCCTAAATTTACATCCCTTATAATTGAATCACCAACCAGAAGGTGGCTTCTCTTTTTGGGTGCCTTTCTGTTCTTGCATGACTGATGTGTAATACCTGATTCACACTTCTCCCTGTCGAAAACAAATTTTTCATCTCGGACCAAGATCCCCTGCTTATTTGAGTTGTCATCACAAATATCTTTTCCTGTCTCCTTAATGTCCCTATTAAGGTCAGCAAGGGCACTGTATCTGTTGTGCAGGGACACAGCAAAAGCTTTGTATTTATGGCTCACAGCTCTCACCCTGCCAGATCCCACGGTTCTCCACAATGCCCTTCTCCTGCAGGATCTTTGTGGTAGAGAGGGCTGATAGCTTGGAGGCTCAATGGAGTAGAAGGGCTGTTGTATTCCTTAACCTATTTTGAACCAATTGTTTATTCCATGTCTGATTTTAACTATTGCTCTTGACCTGCATACAGACTTCTCAGGAGACAGGTAACGTGGTCTGGTACTTCCTTATTCTGTTTAGTCTATGGCTATATAAAACCAAACTATGAAAGTCTAAAAGCTGCCTTTTTGTTAAATTAGTTATGCCGTAAAACATTAAAATATTTTTCCAATTAGACACTTCTGATTTACAAGTTGTAGATATCTATAGATACTCATCTACACTAACAATCATCTTCCACAAATAGTATGATGCATCAACAATTTAAAACTAGCATTAAAAAGCAATTAAGTGCTTGCTTCTTCCTGCTAAGTGTGGATATGAGAACATTCATATCTTGGTCTGGATAAAACGTGTCTAATCTTTCAGCCAACTAACCAGCCTTTAACAAATAACTCAAAGCTCTAGGACTTCTGGCTTTTGTGCCACAGCACGTGGCTGCAGGATTGCAGAACTCCACACCTTTTGACTTATTTCACTGTGCCAGGGGACCCTAAATGGGTCTGAAGTCATCCCGGGGAGGAGACGAAGAAAGAGGGTGCCCTGATAATCACGGAACAATGGCAGTCGTTCCATTCGATCTGGGGGAAGCCCTCTAACCCGAAAGGAGAAAGGCTAGCTGCACACCAGCGTCTAGCTCAAGCTACCTGCAGCCAAAGTCCAAGAGCACAAAACAGAACAGCGGTGAACAGCGTGTTTGGAACTGGTGAGAATATTAAACTTCTCTCTTCTACTCTGTAACTAAGTCCTTAGGAAAGATCCCCAATTAAGAAAACCTCCGAAAGTGAAGGGAGGGGACTACACCCCCACTCCTTCATAGACAGAAGTGGTTAATTAACCTTTAAGGGGGAAAGAAATATATTAAAATCAAAGTTAAAATACTACAGTCTGGAGAAATCTAGAAGTTAAAAAAACTGCTAAGATTATACTTTAAAGAATTTTATGAAACTATACAAATAATAATAATAATAATTTTTTGCCTAAAAAACCTGGAAAACAACTACTGACACCAGTGGAGAACTAGAATATAGAATATTAACAACACTGACTCAAAAATTGGCAAGATGCCCAGAAACAAAGAATAATCTGTTCCCTTGAACTTTAATAACCCTCAGAAGACAACTGGGTAGGAACAAAGAAAGAATACATACTGGGCCAGCCATAAGATTAAAAAGTGTTTGAAGGAAAAGAAATACTTTGACTGTTGTCTAAACTCAAGAATTGTTTACAGAAAAAGAAAAACTTGACTCTGGGCTAATCTTTTAGGAGGGAATTTACAGGAAGGATTCAAGATGGCTAAGTATACTGAATTGCAATTTTGACTGGTTGACAACTGACCCCTGAATAAAAGAACTGTTATAAAATACTGATTTTACTGATGCCTTGACAATTGAAAATGCTGTGGATTATAAAAACTATATATAAAGATAAGAACTATACAAAATTGGCTGTTTGGATTCTGAGTCTGGCTGGTTTGATAAGCCTAATTATAGAGACTATGGCACTGATGGGATATTTGAAAGGGCGAGACAAAAAATGACAGAAAACCACATTTAATACTTACTCCTGAAGGACCTAGCCTGGAATATCAAAGACCTCCAGAAGCAACAATTCAAGACAAGACAAATACTTTCCAGGAGGAAATGTATGTATTGCTATGACAGGTACAAATGACAATAGCTTTAAACCACGAGATCATCAAAAATAACTTTGACAACGTAAATGAGCACATCTCTAATCTAAATTCACAATCAAAAAACACTCAGAAAATTATGGTAGAAAATGAACAAACAAATCAGATAACAGAAACTAGAAGAAAATGACTTAATCAGCGAAGCTACAAATGAAGAGAATTATAATTTAACACAAACAGGAAAAAACCTACAAGACCTTGACATAACAATAAAAATGGAAAAGATACTTTATTCATCAGAATGTCAAAATAAACCTGAGGATAAGAAAGAAGATTTAACAAAATGGACTATAGAACTGCCAGGAGAACCATTAGAGTTCGGGAGATAAAAAGCATATATTCTACTCATCCTGTCTTCTCCACTCTCAACCATACACAAAAATACAAGAAGTTCCTGGCAAGCGGAATATATCAACTTGGAAAGCTACTTGGCAAAAGAAGAAGGCCAGAGATAGATTCAAGAGATTTGACTTGCCCTATCAGATGGAGTATTACATGAGCAAACACTTGTTTGAATATGGTTAAAAGAACAGATAACTTTGGATATAAAGGGGCCTTACAATAAGAGGGATAAGAGATATAAGTAATATAGTATTTTTATAATATATAAAATGTAAAAATATTGGGATGATATATGTGATAAAAAAGTTTGAAATTTAAAGGTAAATTAAGTTGAAGGGAATTAGGGCTAAGGAATGACTGAAATACTGAGGAGAAATTAAACTTAAATAAGAACTTTGAAAATAGGATATATAGTGATTTAACAAATTAACTTATAAATATAAGTGAAATATAAACTGATCAGAAAAGATGTTATAGGTAGATGTCATAAGATAGATAAGCAATATAGTATTTTTATAATGCATGAAATATGAAAAGATTGGGATGATGTATCTAAATGGAAAATCTGGATATTTAGATATTAATATTGAGAAAATTATAAGAATTGTTTGAATATTAAGGATAAATGAAACTTAAATAAGAATTATGAAAATAGGATATATAGTGAACTAATAAGATTATTTTTATAAAAGCAACAGAAGTAGACAAGGAAAAATGTCATACATGACCGTTATTGTACAAACATGAAAAAAATGTTTATATTTAACCATTTATGCATTGGAAATATTAAGAATTATATTTGATTAAGAATGAAGAAAGAGAATACTATTGGGAGAAGGGAAGATCAAAGAAATATACTATTGATGAATATAATTATGGAATTATAAAAATTATTATTCTGTTAATTAACTACTATTGTTTTTTTTCCAAAATATATGAACCAAAACGATGTACACTAGGCACTAAGGATTGTTATTGTAAAAAATCAATAAAACATTTCTTTAAAAAAAAATAACTCAAAGCTCTAGCTCCTACAGCAACTGTTTAAAATATGGTAAATATTTCATTTCTGTTTTAAATCCAAATATTAACCTAGTCAAAATTTCCTGTTGATTTCCACAGTACAATCATGCCTACAGAGCAAAATGCTAATTTCTGGGGAATATACCAGAATATGAATATGTATGTATGTATGTATATAAAATGAAAATTTACCTCTTGGAAAAAAGGCCTGTTGCCAGCCTAAGGGAGAGAGAGAGAGAAAAAAAAATCCCACTGATCTGTAAGGCCTTTGTTAACTCTAAAATTAAGAAATAGGTAGCATTAGAAGTAGATTAAGTTAAACATGCATGACCTGCTAATGTGCGTCCTTAAAATTATTTTCACCCTTAAGTGTTTTGTATTTTAAGTCAATTATCAACTAAAGCTTGGGTGGAGGGGTAATTTGCAATTGGTCAAGTATGGCCAAGACAAGAAATTCGGCATGCTTCTTTAATGTTTCTTAATAAAGGGATTAATAGAGCTGCCTTCATACATTCATCAAATCTTATGAACATATTGGAACATTTCCAATGCTCTCATTACCCTGTTTGTCAGAGCAATCACATGCAATCAATTATTAGACTAATAAAATATAAAGGCCATACTAATAAAATAGCATAAGCAAAAATCATTTTCTTACTGCTTCCAAGGAAAACATTTTGAAGGAAGAAATGCAACAAGAAAGGATTATAGAGTCCTTGGTGCTCTCTGAGTTTTGTCATTTGCTTGCAGACATTTCATTACCCAACTAGTTAATACCACTACTAGTGAGTATGGGATTTCTTCCCTCTGTATAGTATAAATTGCCCTTCTCTGTGAGGTGTGGTTTTCTCCTTGGTAATTGATTAGGATTTTGTTTTTCTGCTTATATGGGTCTTGGTTGCTGGAGAGGATGTGTTCTGGTCTTTTTGTTTCATTTTTAGCTTTTTGGTTATCTCTTTTGAATGTAAATATGATTTATTATGGATTTTCAGAAATAATACAACATACAACGGAACTTGTGATTTCCCTGTTTACTAATAGTGATAAACATGTTTCTTTTATTTCCAAATATGTAAAGCAATTTATGCAATATTTCATCAAAACATTTAAGCATAATTTTCCCCCACCCTCCTCTCATTTCTGCCTCAATAATACATAAAAAGAATTTATCAGTGATTTATTTCTACTTGTGCCAATAAGCCTTTTCCTATCTTCCTCTCCCAATTTGAAGATGACTGAACAATTACACTGGCTGGCATTGTCTCTTGGGCTGGCAAGACTTGGTTATTTCTCCCCAAGGCCACCTGTATCAAAGACAAATCCCTTGCCATAAACAGGTCTGTTCAGTAACCCCACCTGGGAGTACATCAACAGTCTCACTTCAGTTCCTCTGGAACAAAGTCTTAAGAAAACCAACGCTGCCTAGAACTCACCAACCACCTTCCCTAAATTATCTTCAGCCTAACCAACTCATTTTTCTCTGTCAGTCCATCACCGCTTTCTTTTTATTTCTCCAGATAAATGACTGAGAGAAGTTTGTTGTTTATTCCTTTCTCCCGTTTCTGATATTTGAAAAGAACAACCCTATTTGCCTGAGAATTGATGCGAAGATGGCAGGAAGTTGCTGTATACAACTTGTCCACCACCAATGCACAAATTATAAAACCTTTTCCTTGACCTTTGTGCAAACTCAGCTTGTTCCTTGGAGTAGAATTTTCGTTATGTTAGAGCTGCTGTGTGGAACAGCCATTAGTCCTGAAGTTTTGTTCTCTTAAGGTGAGAACCAGCAGAAAATTCTGCTACCTTAAGGAAGTCCTGAGGGAACTTCCCATCCCTGATCGTCCTCACTTGAAGCTAGTGGAAAGGGGGAGGGTAAGGAACGCCTTCATTCTTACTCTGAGATTGGAGAACTGTACCCAAAGGAGCCATGCGCCCTCTCCTCACCCACCCCCTTGTCCTGACACCTAAGGAAAAAGAGCAGCTGAAGAGAGGAGACCATCCTCCCTCCTCTCCTTTCTGCCTTACTCCCAGAATCACCTCCAATGAGAAAAGTAGGTATAATCTTTTATCCTTTCATTTCTGGCAACCCGTTTCCCAATAGTGCCCAGGGAAAGACGAACCTTGAGAAGTGGTTCGTTTTCCTTTCCCGTCTCCTTTTGGGTCCTTGTACACTGTAGACCTATGAGTAGAGATAGTGTTGTTTTTATTGACTCTTAAGTAACTGAAGAGGATGGAAAAACCGAAGAACGAGATTAAAATCGTAGCAACTATCTTTTAACTGTAATAAACTTATTTGTGTGGTTGCATCATCATTCTAGAAACAAAAACAAACCTGGTTTTGGGCTTCAGTTCCTAGAATGCAAAGTATATTAGAAAACCAAAATAAGTGTTCGTGTTTTAAACTCACAGGCGGCCTTTGGAGAACCTATGATTGCCTAGGCAAGTAACTTCGTGGAAAATTGCCCGTCTGCTCGCCGCCTTCTGCTCTTGTCCTCAAAATTGCAATAATCTGTGTTGTTAAATTAGAATAAACCATTCACGGGAGCCGCCGGGGAAGTCAAATCCGAGAAAGAGAACAACTCAGCACAGTTCCCTCGGCCTATTTCCTTCCCCTGGTTGGCTCCGGCTTCCCCGCGCGATTCTTTCGTTTCCCTACCAGCTTTCCTGCGAACAGCCTCCGCCCCCTTTTTCTCGTCTCATTAACCCGCCTCTGAAGTAAGGGCGGCTACCGCCTGGCCCCTGAGGGGTTGCTTGACGCTTTCCGCTGGAGCCATTGCGAGAAGGCTTCAGCTGGCTTCTGCCGAAAGTTGCTTGCCTGGGTTTTCAGAGGCGCTGCCCGATGACACTGATAGATACTGGCGCACCGGCGGCCAACAATGCTTTCCTCGCCGGCGGTGCCTCGGCTTGCGCTCTTGCCACGGAGATGAAGTATGTCTTGGGGATAGACGTGGGCAGCACGGTGATACGGTGCCATGTGTACGACAAGGCGGCGGTACTCAAAGGATTCAGTAGCAAACAGGTGAGAATTGTGCGGGCCTCGGGGAAGAAGGCCTGAAATAAAGAAGTTCCTTTAACTCCGTTTTAATCACCGAATTCCTTGGGGATTGTTTTTATGCTATTGCCTAAGATTACAACTCAGAGTGCAACGTGGTCCCGTGTCCAAAAACTGGGCGCACGAGACTGAATCATTAACCACCCAAACATATGTTAATCCAAAATGTGTGTGCTCAGCTAGTGTGTGTTCAGTAAGTAATTCAGCTCAACTTACCATCAGAATTGTTTCAGTAAATCTTGGTTGTGACAATTTAATAGTTTACTTAAAAACAACTCAGAAACTCCTATTCCTAAATTGTAGGGAGAGAGTTACTGCTTAAATTCAGTGGGACACTGCCTTTCTATAAGTTATATACAATTAAAACTAAAGTTTTTCCTTGATGTATATTTTATAAACATTTGCTTCCTGCAGTATGCTTCTTTCCACTGTCTTATGAATGAGGAAAGAATTTGGGGGTTTTGTTTTCTTTTCTTTTTGCCCTAATCAATGACTTAGTGATCACATTTGGCTTCTTAGTTTTTCTGTCATTGAAATATACAACTTGTTTGTCTTTTTGTTCTTGTTTAGTAGTATAAGTTAATAAAAACAAGTTGCACATTGACCTGTAATGGTTATATAGAAATCGGATTTTGCTTTGGTTTATTATGTGGCACTGACTCTGAACTGCTTATGCAGCAGGAGTTTGAATAACAGAGTCCATGATGAATGCATGGACTGTAGGATATCATGCTGATCTCTTATTGCAGCATTTACAGATATCCTGCTATATGTAATGCTGAAATACAGTTTTAAAGTTTCAGTATTTAACCTGCCCTTAATATCACATCATAAAAATTGTTTTATTCAGTCATAGATACTATCCATACTATGTTTGAAAAGTTTTCAGAGTTGAAGATGAATTAAATATAAAAATGTAGGTGTTAGTACTTTTGACAGCAATAACAGTTGCAATTCAAGTCTTGCCTTAGCCATGAAAGCCAGCTGGGTGACGTTGGGCCACTCACTCAGCACAACTCACCTCACAAAGTTGTTATGGGGAAAATAGGAGGAAGGAGTATTAAATGTGTTCCAGTTGAGTTGCTTGTAAAAACAATAAAGGATGGATATAAATAAATCTTGTTTGAAAGTGCCATGATAGTGCACAGATCTCCCATGAAATACTAATAAAGTGGCAAAATGCAGTCTTGACTATGCTAAGTATAAAGCTTATTGAAAAAAAAGTACCCATATCAAGTTGGAAGCAAGTGTTGAGTGGCATACCATAGGGCTGAATTCTAGTTATTTTCCCTGTGCTATTCAACATATTTTTAACTGAATTGGATAACCTGCTAAAATATGGTGATGAAATTTGCAGACAGCATAAAGATGAAGGATAACAAACAGCTGAAACAATAGGCAGAAACCAGGAAGGTAAATTTCACAGGAAGAAATGCAGAGCAAAATGGGTTTTTCTTAGATTGAATAAGAAAAGATATAGGATGGGGGGGGAATCATGTTGGGCAGTGCTAGATGCAAAAAAGGATCTGGATATTGTGGTAAATCACAAACTGAACATGAGTCAGGAATGTGATGCAACAATAAAAAAAGCAAATGCAATTCTAGACTACTTCAACAGATTCTTCCCTTCTAATCAACATCAGACTGCATTAACTGCATTATGTCCAGTGATTAAGGCTGTAATTTAAAAATGGCATTGACAAACAGAGTTAAGCAACAGGGATATTTTGTTTGTTGTACTTTCCATAAACTGCCAAGACTCCATGTTATTGTGAAACTTAGATATTTTATTATAAAGAGATTTCATTGTAAGCATCTGATCTAATTAACCCTGCCATTTTAATAACTTAAATTCTCAAGTACAATAACACTTGAATGCAATTGTTGGCATTCTGCATATAATGTCTGACCAGTGCATGTTGGAAATCTCTAGTGAATGACATAGAAGCCGTAGTTGCATAAAACCATTGAACCATCATCTTGCTGACCACATTGTCTTTTAATATGTTATGAGGCCAATCCATATATTACCTGATGATCGGGTCATGAGACTATAGAAAACCAGGCAAGTTAATGATAGATAAACATTCTCAGTAGCTACTGGGGTCTTTGTTCCTTATGAATTAAGTATAGCATTGCAGCTTAAAGAATTACACTATTACTGTTTCTCTTTCCCATATATGTTCAGATGTACATATTTTAGATTTATACCCTGATTTTCTTGTATGAATTCAAGATTGCATAGCATTCCTTCCTCCAGTGTTTCCCCACAACAAACACACTGTGAGGTAGGTTGGGGTCAGAGATTGTGATTAATCTAAAGTCACCAGTGGCTAAGGATGGCTTTGAACAGGCATGTCAAACTGCTGGCTTGTGGACCAGATGCGTCATGCCGAAACTGCGCCCACCCCATTGCTGACAATGGGGAAAAAATCCCGATATGTCACATGATGTTGTGAGTTTGACATGCCTGGTTTGACTCTTGGCTTCCCATTTCTACTGTATGGGAGTACCTTAAGGTACCCTACCATACTATACTTTAAATACTCCAAATCTACTTGGTTCTTAAATTGTCATTTATTTACTGAAGTTAGTAAGTTTCTACTTTATCTCATTTTGTATGAATGAGGAAAGAATCTTTAGTAACTTCTAGTAGTGTTTCTATGCAGTAAATTATTACTACAGCAAGAATATGCAATCACAGCGTGGAATGTATTTCATTTTTTCTCTCCTTAAATAGGTACGGTAAATGAGAGTTGGCTGCAATTGTACACAAAGTATATTATTTCAGTATGCTATTTGGCAACTTGCTGACCATAAACAATCCACAGAAAAGAAGGTGGGAATGATGGAATCTACAGAATACAATAGAATTCTATTTTAATAGAACTTAAGGTCTTGTTTGGGCTCAAATTCAGATTTTAAGGAGGCAAGATTAATTTCCATTTGTCCATTTCCTGATTGGAAAACAGAAGAGATATTTTACTTTATTTAGCTAGCTAGCCAGACTCCCATCTCTTGTATGACTTTGGCCAACTTGTAGATGATTAAAACAATGTAAAAACAAGTAATACAACCATTTCTAAAAATAAAATACTAATACAAAAGCATATAAAATCATCACTTCATAAAATAAGTCATAAAATTCTTGCAATATTATTTCTATAAGGTAGCATTGAAAATATTCTTCTTAATTTTACAGCATTTCAATATATTCACATAATCAGCCCTGATGGGTACGTTTATTCCTAATAAAGTAAAGGTACAGGTTTCGCCTGTCCAGTCATAAACGGCTCTGGGGGGTGGAGTTCATCTCCATTTCTTAGCAAAGGGAGACAACATTGTCTGAAAACATTTCCATAGTTGTGGCCAGCATGACTACACATCAGTGTGCATGGAACACTTTTACCTTCCCTCCAAAGTGGGAATTTGCATGCTTTCAAATTCATAAGTGACCAGGAGGTCACCCCTGAGTGCCCGGATCTTGAACTGCTGACCTTCTGGTTGACAAGCCCAGCATCTTAACCGCTTGGCCACCATGCTCTATATTCTCAATACTCTTTAATATCAAAATGAAACAGCAAATTGTCGTATTTTTTGAAGTAAGCAAGGTCAACAAATAGACTGCAGGGAGTTTAACTGGAGCTATATTTAGTTGATATAAATTATAGTAATATGTTGAAGCCTGGTTGTATTTTCCCTTCCCTCACTCTTATATCTTGACAAATTAGGGTGGAAGCAGTCTTAGTTTCTTTCACATACTTCCTTTGTTTCCTGGACTAAAGGCATGCTTTTGTTGTATTATCTCCAAGGTCTTCTCTGTAACTGATGTATCAGATGTACTATTGTTACATTGCTAACATTGTTACATTTGGGTCTCTTGATGTCTTTGAGAAGGCAATGCTTAAACTAGTTCCTAGAGTTGGTAATAGATGTATAAATAGTATGAATATTTTAATATATTTTCTGTGAAGAAAACCTTCTGAAGCTTGAATCAAATTCAGATTTTAAAGAGGCATGATTAATTAATGAATAATTTAATTTCCATTTCTCCATTCTTTGATGCATAACTAAAGAGATGTATGTTGAAGACTGGAAATACAGGGAGGATTCCTTAAGTACTATCAATTTTGCTACACCAAAATTGCTTTTTGTAATGGAATCATAGAGACTGGTTATTTTATTAAATAATTATACAGTTTGAATTGCAATTAATACTGTAATTAATTATGAGATTTCATCTGTGAGTTGTCCTATGAGTTTACAAAAACAATGTTTAATACAAGAAACAATCAGAAAAAGTTATGCAACCACCTCAAAATATACTTAACTTTGTGCAATACTTATTGCTTTATAATTCTCTACTACTGGTATGTTGAGATTTGGCATTTTGCTACCAATTTCTTTGGAGACAAAGGCTTAAGTTGATCTTGAAGGATAATTAGTAGCATTTATTTTCTGATGATGAGTCCTTAAGAATTAGTATTGATTTCCATTACTTATGTTTGTTTTTTATCTTTGAAATGTTCAAATTCCAAATTCAGTTAATGGTTTGTGGATTTATGGTGACTTTTAATACCAGAGAAATGTACATGTTCCATTCTCATGTAACAATCTGCTTTTTAATGAAACATGTGGCCATACGCTGAAGGTTCCAACAATATATTTGATAGTATATATACATACTATACATTGATTTCTAATGTCTGGGCTATAATTATCTTTGTTATTTTTAAAACAGGATGTGACTTAAATATGTAAGAAATACGCTAAACATCTTTAATTCTTTTAATATATGAAGTTGCTTTTTTGTAATTTTCATCAAGATCATTAACATCTATGATCTTGGTAACCTGTGTTTCTCTTAATAGGTAGAGGTTCTTCATCCTCAGCCTGGTTGGGTTGAATTAGACCCTGAAAGTCTGTGGACACAGTTCATTGATGTGATTAAAGAAGCAGTTCAAGGTAATCATGCAACTGTATCAATTTGCTCTTTCAAAACTTAATACTGCCGCATTGAATTTATTTTATATTGAGGTCCATGTTCAAGCTCAAAAATGAGAGGGGTTCAAGCTCAAAAGTTCAAAATCAGGTTCAACCTCAAAAATGACACAGTAAAATCCAATCAAATCCAAACTTTATTTGCTTTCATTTAATGGACAGAATGTTGTGAAACTAAAGCTATAACCTTATAACCCATTAGAAATCTCTGATGAGATTTACTGCCTCCTCCTTGGGAAAGTTCTGTATTGCCAAAGATCCTACCCACTTATTTTCCAGGTACACACACTATCACAATATCTAGATTAAAGCTAAGGCCTTCACAAAAGAACTCACAAAATATGGGAACTACTTTTCTTTGGAAAAGCCTATTTTCCACTGACATCACCTTTTAGAAACTAAATTAACAATTATGATTACTAGTTAAGTTTATTTTAATGAAACATCATGTATTTATTGAAACATTTATGCATGTGCATTAATTATTAAACTAAATCAACACCACCATAATTATTCAGCTATTCTTGTTTAAATTAAAGGCATTAAAACCTGGCTCTTTATCTAGGCACTGGGATAGACAGACAATTGGTTAATGGAGCCACAGGTTTTTTCGTGGGTTTTGTAATTTTATTTCCATAACCCACCTGAATAGAAAACTTTTTAAAATAAATAAATCTTTTAAAATAAATAAATATATCTTTTAGTTGCAGGACTTAAAATGAATCAAATCTCTGCTCTTGGTCTTTCAACACAACGTGGAACTTTCATTACATGGAACAAGTATGTATAAAGATTATAACTGATACTTCATTCTGTGCTTGTTGATATGTATGTGTTGGATTCTTTCCAAAATAAAGTTCACTTGTTAGAGTAATGCTTGATAGCATTATTTACTAGCACCCATGATATTAAAAATAATAATGAAATACATTTAGCTTTTGTTTTAAACCCATATATGTATCATTATATTTTCAACAAAGTGCAATTAAAATAAATGATTTGCTGCAGGGTAGGTGCCAGTTATATTGTTTATATATGGATGTAGGTTACATTCCTACACAGGTGAAAAGCTTTGCTAATTCTTTAATTAGTAGTTTAAAATGCCACTTTAAAAGTTGGGCCACAACTTTTATGTAAGAAAGGTTGGAAGGAACCTTGGAATCTTCTAGTTTGAACATACCCAACTATCAAAATTGTTGTTTAATTACTAGGCTGCTTTGTGATCCAATGAATAACATTTTGCTAGGATTGCCAGGCAGCAACTGCTTTTCTGAGTTCTTGTAAGCTCACGATTGTATTATCAGTAATAATATCTAGCTGCCATGTTTGTTATTGGCCTTTTCTTCAGTTGCCTTCAGTTTTTCCAAACATCAGGGACTTTTCAGGTGCCTTTACATCATGTGTCCCAAATAGTTAAAATTTCATTTTATGGTAGTATTTCCAGTGAGCAGGCTGACTTTATCTATGATCATATGGTTTGTTCAGTAGATGGTAGTCTATGGTATTCGCAAAAGCTTTCACTGGCACCAGTATTCAAAGGCATCAATTTGTCTTTCAGACTTTCTGATATTCCAATTTTCACAGCCATGTTTTTACAAATGGAGAAATGTAGTCTATGTTTGAGTTATATCTCTGTATTTTAATTTTTGGTTAAGAGGAGAGTATTGGGTGAGGGCAGATAATGATCAAACATGTAACATAATTTCTGCTAGAGGTGTCCACAACTAATCCTGTTAATGAAAAAATGTGGATTTCTATATGTAAAACTGGATTCGTATCATAATATTATCAGCCTAGAATTAGAGATCTCTTAATTTATGACTATAGTCATCCCTGTAAAGTTTTCAACCCAGGATGATAAGCTATTACTATTTTAACCTCCTTTCTCCTTGCATTGTTTGGTATTGCCTATTAATAAACCTTAGTGCTGTTGAATATTAGTAGCAATCTGGCTTTTTCCATTTCTTTCAAAATGTTCTTTTTCAATGTAACATGTTGAATATTAGTCTTACCTCAACAATGCATGACTAGGGTGGTTATCGATCTGTCTGAAATGACCTGCCCAAAATATTTTCATCATTGATTCAATTAAACTGGTTAATATATTAACATCTTAGAGAGCATAAAACACAGCTTAATGTGAATTCTGTCAAATAGGTGGGAATCTGTATATCATAATTACTTTCTGATGAAATTTTAAAAATTATAAAAGTATAATTAAGAGGGTGTGTAGTTACACAAGTTGCAGGAATAAATTTCTATTATTAATATGAATATTGAAATTTTTCCTGAATTTTTCCTGAATTCTTCAATTATGAGTCCGTAATTTGTTCTATGGACTGTTTGATAAATAAAATTAGTTCATTAATTATCTCAACTATATAGTCAGAATTCTTCAATATGGAATAAATTAAAGAAATGCTATATATCTGAGGAAGAATTACAACATTAAACTGTAAATTGAGAAGTAGGGTGAAACAGTCTCTTCAGCAAAGTACTATTGATCAGTTCAACATTTTGAATAGGGAGAAAGGAATATAGAAACAGGTGTGTGTTTAAATCTCTTCCACTAAATCTCACCATTGCCAAAACCAGTTATTCTACTAAAATTTTCTTATGTAGAAATAGTTGTGATTGTTTTGAATTCTTTAGTTAAGGTATTAAGTTGTCCTAGTTAAGATACAAAGAATAGAGAAACGTAATAAACAGCCTAAGCTTAATTCTTATAAATTCATGTCCTGTAGATATGGATAATGACATTAAGGCTGGTGTTTGTGAATAGATTTCAGCTCTATTATAACAGTGATCTTGGTGGGAAAGTGTGCAGGTGACCGGTAAGCCATCATGTGAGCATGGAGGGGCCAGGGGTAGCAGCAGCAGGTAGAGGAAAGGTACACAGGTAACTGATGGTAAACATAGATGAGGCTAAAAAATATGACAAATGTTTGTGAGAATTTGGTGTGTCTAGCTTAGTGAAAAGGACTAGGGGTGGTGACATGATAGCAATGTTCTAATATTTGATGGCTGCCACAGAGAAGAAGGGGTCAGCCTATTTTCCAAAGCATCAGAAGGCAATAATAGATGGAAATTAATCAAGAAGAAAACCAGCCTAGAACTAAGGACTTGTGAAAACAACCAGTGAAAAGGCTTGCCTTCAGAAGTTGTGGATGCTCCATCACTGGAGGCTTTTAAGTAGAGATTGGAATTCCATTGTCTGGAATGGTATACGTACCCTGCTTGACCAGGGGCTTGGACTAAAGACCTCAAAGGTCACTTCCAACACTCTTTGAGAGAAGCTCTGCCAACCTCTCCTTCTCCCCTCGTCCTTTCATGGGCACAGAGAGAGGGAGGAAGGGAAGGAAGGAGGGAAGGGAAACAGGAAGAAAGAAAGGGAAGGAAAGAAGGAAGGAGATAGGAATGGGAGGGAGGGAGGGAGGAAGGAAGGAAGAAAGAAAGGATTGGAATAGGAGGGAGGATCTGAGGGAAGTCCTGCCTTAGCACTTGGCCACCAGCAGCCCTGTTGCCCTTTCGCCATCCCGGGTGGTCTCCCATCCTATTGCTGAGGATCCTTTGGTTACAAAACCAGGTCTCCTCACATGGAGAGGGAGTGGGCCTCCCTCCGACCCACGCACTTTGCACTCCTGCACCCACCATGAGCAACCTGGCCAAGGAGAGTGAGCACAGAAGCAGTAGCCTTCAGGAGGAGATAAATGCAGCTGGGCACCCCCTCGGGGAAAGTGCAGCTAGGGTAGGCAGGGCTGTAGGGTCCTGGTGCGTGGGAGCTCAAGGGCCGGGCTTGGTGCTTGACGTTTGCTGCCTAGGGCACTAGGCAGTCTGTGCCACTGCCCAGGGGCCCCCTTCATGGCCTGAGGCTCAATGAAGCTCCTCCAGTGGACCATGCCCTGGCGCTCATCCCAGTCCCACCCACCCCTCCGCCGGAGATCCTCAGATCCGCCTCAGTCCTGCCCAGGCCCGCACAAGTGCCCCTGATGCAAGTGATGTCAAGCTGGCCATGCCCACCCAGTAGGCCATGCCCATGCAAGCCACACCCATCCAGTAGACCAAGCCCATCCAGTGAGCCGGCACCCAACGATAAATAAGTGGGATTTGGGTTGCAGTTTGGTCATTCAGTCTCTGAAAGGTTAGCCATCACTGACCTATACCATCTCAGACAGTGACTGTCTAGCCTCTTTTTAAAAATCTCCAGTGATGGAGCGCCCACACGTTCTGGGGGAAAGCTATTCCACTGGTTAATTGTCCTCATTATCAGAAAGTTTCTCCTTAATTCCAGGTTGCTTCTTTCTTTGATCAGTTTCCAACCATTGTTTCTTGTCCTGCCCTCTGGTGCTTTGGTGAATAACATGACCCCCTCTTCTTTGTGGGAGCCCCTCAAATACTGGAATACTGCTATCATGTCTCCCCTATTTCTTCTTTTCTTTAGACTAGTCGAACCCAAGTCCTGCAGCCGTTCTTCGTATGTTTTAGTCTCCAGGCCTTTTGATCATCTTAGTTGCTCTTCTCTGAACTCTTTCCAAACTCTCAACATCTTTTTTGTGATATGGTGACCAAAATTGGCTGCAGTATTCCAGATATGGTCTTACTAGAATTTTATAAAGCGGTACTAATACCTCACGTTATCTTGAGTCTATGCCTCTGTTTATACAGCTTCTAGTTGTTCGCAGATCTGTTTTTTGATTATCTTTTCTAGGATCTTCCCAGGTATTGATGTTGAACTGATTGGTCTGTAGTTTTCTGGATCCATTTCTTTTCCTTTCTCGAAGATGGGAACCACATCAGCCCTGTACTCCAGGATTTTTGAAAGATGTGGTGGAGTGGTTCTGAGATAACATCTGCCAGCTCCTTCAGAACTCTGGGGTGTAATCTTTCAGGTCCTGGTGATTTATATTAATCAAGGTCAGATAGGTGTTCTCTTACAATTTTCTTGCTTATATTAATTTTATTTCTAATTTGTCTTTTGCAGTGGGTTTTTTGGTATGTTTGGCTATGATTTCTTTTTGTGTGAAGACTGATGTAAAGTATGAGTTAAACAGCTCTGCTTTCTCCCTGTTGCCTCTTATTTCCTTGCCATCTTTTCTCTTTAGTGGACCTACAGTTTCCTTGACTTTTTTCTTGTTGTTAATATGTTGGAAGAATTTTTTTTTATTATCCATGATTTCTGTTGCAAGTCTTTCTTCGTTCTGAGCCTTTGCTTTCTTGACTTCATCTTTACATGTTCTGGCTGTCTGCTGATAATCGGCCTTAGTTATGTGCCCCTCTTTCCATTTTTTGTATTTGTCCTTTTTGTCTTTCAATTTGTCAGAAAGATCTTTGTGCAGCCATGCTGGTTTCTTCTTAAAATTCTTGTTTTTCTTTTTCAGTGGTATTGTGCTGGTCTGGGCTTTTATGTTTGCATTTTTTAGAGTTTCCCACGCTTCTTGGGTTGTTTTCCGCTTTAGGATTTTTGTCCATGGTATCTTTCCTGGATTCTGTCTGAGTTTTTTAAAATCAGCTCTTCTGAAATTCAAAACACTGGTTGGATTGTTTTCTGTTGCTAGTGTTTGTGTTATATTAAATTCCAGTATGACATGGTCACTTTCGCCTAAGGTTCCAGCAGCTTCAACTCCTTCTATCACTTCTTCTCTATTAATTAGAATTAAGTCCAGTATGGCTTTACATCTAGTTCCCTCTTCCACCTATTGGATAACAAAGTTGTCGGCTAGGTTGGTTAGGAATCTGTTTGATCTCCTGCTCACTGCAGAGTTTGTCTCCCAGTTGATATCTGGATAGTTGAAGTCTCCCATTACTATTGTGGCATGCTTCCTACATACATTTGTTATATACCGCACTTAAAGCGGTATATAAGTCTCATAAATAAATAAATAAATAAACTGGTTGGCAAAGAGTTCATCTATTTCTTCTGATTGGTTGGATGGTCTGTAATATACCTATGGTAATGACACTTTTTTTCTCTGAGATAGATGATTTATTAGATAGATGATTCATTGAAACAGATAATTGAAGCCTCAGACAAATGAGGCTTGATTGGTGGAGTATTCAACTATCTGGACATATGTGGGAAAGTTAATTCTGCCAAACACAAGATCCAGATTAATTTTGTTCTGTGTTAATGAAAATTATATCTTTCAAAAGATTAGACAGACGCAAGGCTATTTGTGCCTTAGATTTTTTCCTTATTAACAGGAAGTCATTGATTGAAGATATTAAAAAATATTGAAGCTGAACTGACCATGATTTCCTAGAGTTGATCTTAACAAAAATTTGGTTTTAAAAGGTCAAATAGAAATATGGATTTTAGAAAGACTATTTTTAATAAATGAAACAGTAAAGAAAATGCAAAGGAACAAAACCTTAAGGACAAAGATTTTATTATTAGTTCAGTTTTCTTGGAAACAAAAAGATTGTATAGTCTCAAATAATGTCAGAGGAACCCATGTGGCTGAATAGGCAGCTCATAAAGGAGTTTGAGATTAAAGAAGAGTGTTTATTTGAAGTGGAAGAAAGGATTAACATTCAAAGAAGTCTTCCCATATTTAGCTCAGAAACTATGTATAAGGTCAGGAAGGCAAAGGTGGAAAACTAAAACTGTTCAATAAGGCAAAATTCAATGAGAAGGATTTTTTTCATATACCAGTATGTCAGTAACAAGAGGAAATCAAAGGAAGTGTAAACCTATGGCTTACTCCACACTAGGAGATCCTAACGTGATTAAGAGAAAGTGTGAGAACTCCAGTTTTTGGCTCTTTCTCTCCAAAGGAAATGATGATTTCAGTAGCATAGATTAAGAAAAAAAAAAATAGAAGGCTTAAGTCAGCTAATTTGAATCTACTAATTTCATGTCACAACAGAAAAAGTTGATGTGTAGAGCAGAGTCCCCAACCTTTTGGGCACCAGGGACCAGTTCCGTAGAGAGAGGTTTTTCCATGGACGGAGGGTGCGTGGTTTTGTGTGCTGCCTGCATCTCGTGGATGGGGCTTTGCTTGTGTGTGCAGACCAGTTGCTGGCATGCCACGGCCCGGTACTGGTCCATGGAGCAGGGGTTGGGGACCTCTGGTGTAGAGCATAGTCAGTAAAGCCTAACACAGTGATGGCGAACCTTTTAGAGACTGAGTGCCCAAAAACCGCCCTGCCCCTGCTCTGCCCGCCTGCTCCGCCCCTTCTGCCACTGCTCCGCCTGCCCGCAGGGCCACCCACCACCTCCATGGACTGCCGCAGCAGATCACCCAGGAAGCCAGACAGTGCCATAGTAGCCACGCCCTCCACTCATGCCCAACAGCATCATCTGCATGCAGTGGGGCACGAGGGCGGAATCTTGTCTCTGCTGCCTGGCTGCCATGTGCTTGGCTGCGCTGCTCTGCGCGGTCTGCAGAGGTGGCTACTGGGGAGGGGAAGGTGGGGCGATGGCGTGCGTGCCCACAGAGAGGGCTCTGAGTGCCTCCTCTGGCATGCGTGCCATAGGTTCACCACCACTGGCCTAACACTTCCCTGAAATCCAGCATTTTCCTCTTCAGGTTGGAACCTCTTCAGGTTCCCAGATCGTAAGGAAATGCCCTTAAAATACTGAAGGTTCTGGTTGAAGAATTATTAGGATTTCAGGGGGGACAGTGTTAGAGGATAGGAAAAGAGTAAATAGAGTACCTGGCATTAAGAAAAGAAAAATAAAGTTAAACCTAACATGAATAACTCGAAAACTTGAAGAGTGAATCTTGTACCTCCAACGAGATCACTCCCTTGCTTGTTAAAACATATGTGGCTGGTTAAGTGAACATGAGGTATCTCAGGGTGGGGAAGGCCATGGAGGTCCTAGTGATGGAACATGCCTCCAAGGCCTCCCTGACCCACTAAGACACCTCATGCTTCCCCCTCCCTTCCTGCCGTGTTAGTGTCACCTGGAAAAGATCCATCTTCTCTCTGCCGTGATTCCTGCTGCCACCCAGATCTGAGGCTGGGGAACGCTTCTGCGCCCCCATGGCCCGATCCAGGCACCGGAGGCCTTTTCCAGGTTGCTACCGCCCAGATCTAAGGCCAGGGAATGCTTCTGTACCCCCCTGCAGCCCGATCCGGATTCCAGAGACATTTTTGCAGGCCGCTGCTGCCTGGATCTGAGGCCGGGGAGTGCTTCAACACTTCCTCACAGCCCGATCCAGGCTTTGGAGGCATTTTCCAGGCCGCTGCTGCCTGGAAACCATCCACCAGAAGGCTACATAAGCGTCCCCCGGCTTCAGATCCATGGGGGGGGGGCGGAAGCTTTCCTCGGCCTCAGATCTGAGCTGCAGCAGCCTAGAAAATGCCTCCGGAGCCCCGATCCAGCCTTCGGAGGCACGTGGAAGTGTCCCCCTGCTTCGTTTCCATTCTCTGTTGCAGAGAACAGAGGCCTAAAGTACCATGAGATCACGCAAGATCAGTAGTGTGAGATCTTGCCCCACTGATCTTGCGTGATCTTGTGTTGCTTTAGGCCTCCATTCTCTGCAAACGCACCGAAGGCCTGGAGCAGCCAAGAAAGGAAAAGATCTCGATCTTCGCAGGATGAGTATTGAAGGCCTGGTGCCTAGGGAGACGTAGGGTGGGGAAGGAGGGAGGGAATAACCAGGGTGAATATTGCAGAGCCACTGCAGTTGCTCGTAAGGGCGAACGACTGCCATGGTGCTGCAATATTTGTAATTTCAGGACTTGCTCGTTCATAAGGCACTAGGGAGCGCTCATCACATAACTTTGAATGAGCATTAAGTGAACGCTTGTAACTTGGGGATTACCTGTAATCAGTTGCTGTGAGAAACTCACTGGTCAATGAAAACCTTTTGATGGCGGCCAAAAACGAACGAGGTCCCAAATTGCTGGTACCTAAATTTCACTTTAAAAAAGATATCCTGATTGTAAGATCTTTATAACCACAAATGGTAGATTCACAGAGGATTTTAAGAACTAGCAACTACCTTTGGAACATAGTTTATTTGTTTATGGTTTTTTTGCATATTATATAGAGGGTTGAACTAGATGATCTTTGTGATCCCATCTACTTGCACATTTCTTTGATTCTGTTTTGATACCTTTTTTATCTGTAATCTATTTAGAGCTGATATCTAAACTCTGTTACTGAAATGTAATACAAAGCAGTTGGAAAGTCAATTATCCCTTTTTGCTTTTCCAGAAAGACAGGGAAACCTTTTCATAATTTCGTAAGTTGGCAAGATGTGAGAGCTTCTAACCTTGTTAAATCCTGGAACAGATGTTTTTTAATGAAGGTAAGATACTTCTTTGCATTGAAAATAAGTTGGCTGAAGCAGGGAAGGAACTTTGCATGTGTGCAAATATGTATGCCCTTACTTTAGAGAAGGCTGGTATATTGCCAGTGGGTTGGGAGATATCTAATGATTTGCAGCTGAGAGAAGTAAGGTAGAATTGTCCTATCTGTATTTTTATGAGAGAAACAATGTCGTAGGTGAGGATGTTTAAATTTTTCTTTCAATTCTCCTTTTCTAAATGGCAAATGGTCCTCTGTTCCAAAGCTGCATTTTGTAAACTAGAAGATTAGGAAAAGGAAATAGCCATGAATTTATATAGCTTGTTTTTTATGATTAGATTTAAAAAAACACAGATTTAGTAAGATACGATTAGTCACAATTGCCTGAATGAAAATGTTGGTACAAAATAAGCCCTAGTTTTGGGACGAGGAGCACGTATAAAAATCAAGCTAGGGTGGGGTTGGAGGGGGTGGAGCTGCCCCATGCATCCTGCATGGGCTAGCTTAGGACCGCTACAGCAAGGCCTCCCACGTCCTGACACCTGTTGCGCTGCTACCCAACTTCAAGTGGCAGCACTGGCGCATCCAGTGAGCATGTGCGGCATCCTACCGTAAGCAGTGGCACTGGCATGATGCACCAGATGGCGCATTGTGCCAGTGCTGCCACAAGTGGCAGAACACCATGTGGTGCATTGTGCCATGGCGTGTGCGAGCGGCAGCACCAGCATGATGCATTGTGCAGCCTACTGCCGCAAGCAGTGGCACCGGCACAATGCATCTGCAAGTGGCAGCACCAGCACGGTGCAACATGCAGCATCCTGTCATGAGCAGCAGCATCAGCATGAAGCGCCAGATAGCATGCAGCTGCAGAAGAACTCGGGCAGCGGCGCCGAAAATAAGACCTTGTGCCTCTTTTGGAGGTAAAAAAAAAATTATAATACTGGGTCTTATTTTCGGGGAAACATGGTATTTATGATCATTGCAGTGTCCTGGGTCATGGGATCACCTCTTGGAACCACCTGACAAGGAAAGTCAATGGGGAAACCAGATTTACTTAACAACTGTGTTACTAATTTAACAAATGTGGCAAGAAAGGTCATAAAGTTGGGCAAATCTCATTTAACAATTGTATTGCTTAGCAATTGAAATTTTGGTCTCAATTGTGATCATAAATCGAGGGTTACCTGTATTACTGAGGAGGCGCAGATGAATTTTGACTTCTGCAGTGAAAAGGTTCTGGGACTGTTTCTTATAGACTCAGATTTGTTTTGTGTGTGCTGGAGAATGGAAAGATTGTTTTAATATTGAAATAAACTTATTTTTTTATTTAAAAGTGGCATTTGTTAAAAATTACCCACATGTGGAAAACCAGCACATCTGGCAAATACTTGGGATATAACCTTTCTGCTCTGCTGATTTCTGTATGTGGGAAGTTTATAATATGAGCGGTATTCAAAATGGCTTTGCTTCTTAGCAGTTAGAAGTGAAATAGATTCTTACCTTTCTGTTTTCTCTCTTGACCCCCTGCATACAAAGATTGGTAACAGTCAGACTGATCTAGTACTACTCACCAGAAAAATGTCTGTCCAACTTGCTTCTTGCTGAACATCTATCTGAACAACAAAACTTATTTTGTACTGGTATGGCAGAAAATGTTATATGCAGGCCCAGATAACAACTTCACCAAACAGTTGAATAGTTCTGTATTCATAGATACAGGCTGTGTTCATAGGACATAATAAATCTTATTCGCTTATCCATGATTTATTGAAAAAAAGAAACACAAATGCCTGAGTTCAGACAAATTATGGTTTACAAATCACATTGTCTGAACTCATATAAAACGAGCAATAAGCAACAAACTAAGACATAAATCATTTTTGGCTTTATATCTGAACACAGTGAACTAAGCTGTAGGCATATGTTAGTAAGAATATTAGGAATGTACAAAATATGTAGCTGATTTTAAGCAATCAGCATCCAAATCAAAATGCACATGCTTTGTTGAGATCCAAATGTAAAAGAAAATAGAGTTGTTCCAGTTATATAAAGAATGCACAGAAAAAAAAAAATCTGAAGACTGAGAAGTTCCCTTGGACAAGGCATTGGAAGCAGGGAAGACTCTGGAAAGGGTGGGATGGGCATGCTGGTGGGACATGCAAATAAATCCTGCTTCTTACTGCTAAGACAACTGATGTAAAAGGCAGATATGGGTCCACTATACATTAGTGGCAGCTGAGGGAAGGCTGCAAAAAAAAGGTCCCGAAGATTGGGAGCAGGTAGGCCAGTTAGAGATAGTGTTTTGAACGGCTGAGATCACTGTAGTAGGGAGCCAGGTGCATGGGCTGATACATTTTTTTTATATATAAAATGAGAGAATGAAAAATACTGGGAAGATGGGAAATTGGATAGATCAGTGCAAAGGCCAGATAAGGGATCCTCTGGATTTTGTTTTTCCTGAAATGCAGAACAACCAAAAATCCATGTTTAGTTTTTGTTAAACAGCAGCCAATTTTGCAAACATTCCAGAATGCACTGTTTATTCTGAGTTAAATTCAAAATATATATTTCATTTTCTGTATAACTTGACTTGAATCTAGTTGGACAGAAGCTCAAATGTTTATCCTACAAACCTTGTTTTTGAACAGGCAGTCCGTGGTATTTCTTCTTTGCTGCACTTTTTCACTCGGATTAATAGATTTCTGGTATTCCGTTCTTTTAGTTTTACGACACAGCATATCTCTTTAAGACTGGCTTGGGTTTTACAACATTTATCTGAGGTAAGCCCCATGTTAAAATTCTTTCTAAGGGATTTCCTGTTGGTTCAGAGGTTACTGGCAATAGTATCTAAGTGTTCATTTATTTGTTTTATCAAATTGCCAATTGAAGATGAACTTGATAAATATTCTAGTCTTTTCCAGTGTACTGTTCTCAACATATGATCCTAGACTGACTAGAATATTGGGGTTTAGAGGCCAATATACCTGGTTAGCATGCAGTTGGAGAAGATCCATGATCCAAAATGCTCCAAACTGTCAATTTGTACTAATTTATTTTCTAAGCTCTGCATAGTTATTATTGAGAGCCTGTTTGATGCAGTGGTTAAGCCATCAGGCTAGAAACTGGGAGGTCTAGTGCCACCTTAGGCACAAATCCAGCTGGGTAAGTTAGTCACACTCTCTCAGCCCTAAGAAGGAGGCATGGGTGAACCACTTCTGAAAATCATGCTAAGAAAACTCCAGCGACCTGTTCAGACAGTTGCCAGGAGTCAAAAACTGACTTGAAAGCACAAAAACAAACAAACAACCACACATCATAGTTAATATTATCTGATGGTCATTTTATTTGGGACTATAAAAATAGTTTCTGATGTAATAGTACAATTTTTAACATGGACCAATACAAGAAACCTCAAATATTTTATGAGAAATAACAACAGCAACAGCAGTATGTTGTAGGCATTGAGATAAAATAGCTTTTACAGAAAGTGGCCAGTGATCAAATATTCATTTTGTAAAAGACTAAGCACAGTTCCCTTCCTCTCATAATTATTATCCAACCACATGTTATATGAACATACACATCCATTGTCATAGCCAATTTACAATTTACAGTAGTAATCTCCTCATTTAGTAGTTTTAGTCAGTAGCTAGCAAAGATCCAGGCTGTTTGCTTTTTCTCCCTCCCCCCCTCCTCCTGTCAACATAACACAGTGTGTTCTTGAAAAATATCTAAAAATATTAGCATTGGGATCAGCCATGATGCATGGAGTTGTACATTTCATAAAATCATCAGATTCATCTTCTGAACATTTTATCTAGCAGCAATTTCCACACTATGGCATAAAGAAAAGGGTTTCCTTCAAACATCATAAGAGTCTAGAAGGCTGATGTAATTAAGTCAATCTTCTGGATTGTTTAGGGTTTTGTACACTACTAACGACCCCCTTAAATTTGACTGAGTAGCAGACTAACTATCTAGAACTATTGTAAGGATACGGATATGGATTACATTTGCCTTCCTGCAAAAAAATGTGACCTGTGTGTTTATTTGCAGGTAGAACAAGCTGTTAAAGATGGTAATTGCTGTTTTGGAACAGTTGACACATGGTTACTTTATAAACTCACAAAAGGTGAGTACAGTGATTAAATGAGGGATAAGATAATATACCCACATCTCACCCCTAAAATTCTGCAAGTGAATCTTATTCTGACATTCTTCACCCATAGCAGCACTTGTAAAATACAGTAGATATTTTGTCTGCAAATAAAGATGTTTGCAGTGAAAGGGCAACAAGTTTTGTTCAAATCTAATCCAGGATCAAGAACAGAAAATACCAAAGTTTCAAAGGTGCAGGCATAAAGCATAGTCAAGAGGCAGAGCAAAGTTCAGGAATCTGGATGAACAAGCTGAAATAAGGGGTATAATATAAAAGGGGAATTGCAAAATACATTATTTCTAGAATTTTTATCCCAAGGCTGCAGAGAATTCCACTGGAACTCCATATTTGCTAATTCTAGTCTTTGTCCTAATAGTAATCCATTTGGAAAATATTCATGCTTCTTGGAAACTCAGCTTTAAAATCTTGCCCTTTTTCTCCATTTTATACCTTGCATCACAGTTTGAAGGCATTGCCATTCTCACAGACTTGAGGTATTTTTAGGGTTAAGAATCAGAGTTGACAGTTGTATGTTCAGATCGTATCTTTCAGACAATAGATGTCTCATAGAATTTGTGCTATCTGATTCTCAGTCTTCCTCTGACAAGGACATATACAAAGAGATCCTAATAGCTACTTATAGAATCTTTTGTCCTGCAGGTCTTTACACTTGGAGGCATCTTCAACATGCAGTTTTACAGCTCTATAGTGCATGTGAAATTGGTTACTTTTATAATTGTGCTCTGTATAGAACAGGGGTTCTCAACCTTGGCAACTTTAAGACTTGTGGACTTCAACTCCCAGAATTCCTCAGCAGCAAAGCTGGCTGAGGAATTCTGGGAGTTGAAGTCCACAAGTCTTAAAGTTGCCAAGGTTGAGAACTCCTGGTATAGAAGATCAAGTGCACCAATAAAAGCAGTGGTGATAATAGTGTAAATAAGACAACATTAATTGAAATGAACTGTCCAGTTCTATATTACAAGAAAATTAAAATAACCTCTTGGAAGGAAGCAATCATGGTTTTATAATTAAGAATTATTTGACTGATACATTGTTCAGTAAATCAACCACTTCCATATTGAACTATAATTGTTTTTTGTTTTATTTTTCAATATCTAATTGATTATTCTAGGTGCAGTGTATGCTACAGATTATTCAAATGCCAGCTCCACTGCATTTTTTGATCCTTTTAAGGTAGGACTAGTTCCATCTGCCATGTTGTTGTGGTGTGTCTTTACATTGTTTTAATTCTTTTTTTAATATGCATGTGATTTCAGCTGCAATGGAGTGATCTTTTTAGCAAGTTACTTTCCATTCCAGTATCGCTTTTCCCCCCAGTAGAGGATACTAGGTAAGTTTTAGGTAACATATATTTTTGCTTTTTCCAAAGGAAGGCATAAATGTCAAAGTAATTATCTATATATGAGCTGTGGTGACACAGTGGTTAGAATGCAGTATTGCAGGCTACTTTTGCTGACTGCCGGCTGCCGGCAGTTCGGCAGATCGATTCTCATAGGCTCAAGGTTGACTCAGCCTTCCATCTTTCCGAAGTTGGTAAAATGAGGACCCAGATTGTTGGGGGCAATATGTTGATTCTGTAAACCACTTAGAGAGGGCTATACAGTACTGTGAAGTAGAATATAAGTCTCACTGCTATTGCTACTGTTAAAGCTCTCATGTCTGTAACTTTTAACTGGGCAAAATAGTATGTCATAGGGCAAAACCTTTTTCAACCAAGGTACCTCAAATAGAATACTGGGATGCAGGACTCCTGAGTGAATGAAATTTGGGGAAATTTTTCCTGCTTCAGCGTCACCACGGCATTGCTATGATCAATCCAGTCACATGATCCTTGATTTCAAAGTTCCCTGACAGCTTCCCACAATTCTACTGTAGCAGCAATCCCTCTGCACTTGCACCATACTCCCTCACTCTTTCTCTTTCCTCTGCAGCAGTCACTTATTTACCTGCTGAGAAGGGAAGGGAAGGGAAGGAGGGAGGAAGGAAGGGAAGGAAAAAAGGTTTCTGATGCTTGCTGTCATCTTTCCACGAGGAAACTCAGTGGGGAAGCCAAAAGGAAGTTGTATATTGCTCCCACTCCACTGATTTTTTGCCCATGCATCGTCTTTCTGTTTCTTTGTTTAGATAAAGAAATATTTCTGAAATGATAACCCCAATGGATCATGGGTTGTCTACTTGAAATATAAATATGAAATAGTTGAAAAATAAATATGAAATGGTATCAAAGTTCTGTTTAGAATAGAAATGACAATTTTTCTCTAGTTAGTTCATTTATTGCAAATGTATTGAATAAGCTGGAAGCACTACTTTATTTATCTTTATTTTAAGTCACATTTTTGGATCAGTTGATGCTGAAATATTTGGAGTGCCTATTGCAATAGCAGCTTTGGTAAGTATAGAAGTTTTTTTTTCTTTGACTTGGATATATTTAAATTTAGTTGGTATTTAGTAAAACATACTAATCCTTAAATTTCTAGAGCAAAGATTCAAAATAAAAGCTAAATCTGAGCTTAATCTACTATTGAAGATTCAAATTAACTTATTTAAATCCTTTTACATTGAATTAATTCATTTCTTAAATTTCAAGAGAAGCTGAATGGAAGAAAGAGAGAGGAAGAATCAGTATGCACAAATGGATTTGTACAATAGCTGCATTTACATTTGTAAATCTCCTTTTATTGTGAAGATCATGCTATTTAATCCTTCTTAAAAACTAAGCATTCCGGTTTTGAAATCTTCTATTTCAATGAATTAAACTATTAATGTGAACTTTTTAAAGAACTTAGAATTGCACAATGTTATGTTCTAAATATTTATACCTGTTGAATGCTTTGAGAGCCAAGTTTAAGATTCAGCATTTATCTAGAATTCTTTCAAAACTAATAAAATACTCATATTTTTAACCTGGACTTAGAAGCCTAAATATGATTTACATATATCATTTGAGAAGGATTTATCTAGGGCCATAACTCATAACCTGTATTTGGTAATAATTATATTCAATACATCTGGCATACCTTTTTATGCTCTCCGACTGGAACCTAGCCAGAACTTAATCCTGACATTACATCATAATATACAGGTAGTGCTAAACTTACGAACCTCCAAAAAACTATTTAGGACCCCATTTCAAAGTACTGACATCTGAGGAACACAGACACACTGCAGTCATGTGACTACATTTTGGGCATTTGTCAACCAGCCTACATTTAGGACCATTTTGCTCTGTGTTCAAATTACAGTGATTTACAATGTTTTTTCCAGAAACCATTATTTACTTCAGATTTCGGTTAAAAACTGCTCTAGTGAACAATGAGTCTGCTTAACAACCATGGTATTTGCTTTACAACTGCCATGTTTGCTTAACGAATGCAGTAAAAATGATTGCAACATTAGGTATGGTCACCTGGTGATCTGTTTTAGAATCAGCATAACTTACAACTAAAATTGTGCAGTCAGTTACAAGGACTACCTGTAAACATTTCTCAAACTATTTTTGACTTGTTTATCATCTCTATGTCAAGTTTAATATGTCAGGAAGATGGGTAAGAGAACCAACTGAAACCTTTTATAAATGAGTATAAGCTATGTAATGCTACTGATTATAATTTTGTCAACTATTTGTTCCCTTTGTGTTTGTATCTACAATATAACATATAGATGAACAAGTGCTGCTTTCCTATCAATGCTTAAGATGTGCTCAAAGAGAGAAATAGCATTGCTATTGATATACTACTTAATCCCTAAATTATTTGAGTATAGTAATCAAATCTAACTGTCATTATGTTTTTGTAAATACATTCAGTACCACACATAATACCTTATTTTATAAAATGTATAATAATAATAATAATATCTATCCGTGTTAGAATTACAGCTCAAATAATAAAGTGCCTCTTTGTTCACTGAATCTGATAAACTTTGTCCCATAATATAATGGATTGGAAGAAGCTATAGGCAGTGTTATCTGTATCCTGTCCTGTCTCAATGGCCTTACCTATCTGAGCAGCCAGTTGGATTTAATTATTCTTTCAATTGCCCCACACTGTGCCAGAGGCAATGTTAGGATAAAGACTTGGTGAGAAGCTAAAACATAGCTGGATGTAGTTTACTAGGGATGTATGGAAAGTTGAAAATGAAGTATAAATGAAGTATAAGCATAGAAACCAGAGCCAGCATCTGTAAGACGTTCTGCCAGTTTCAGCACTTTGATGACTGTAGAGCAGGGGTGTCAAACTGCCAGACCGCAGGCCAGATACGTCATCCGGAAGCCGTGCCCACCCCATTGCCGGCAATGGCAAAACCATCCCAATATGTTGTGCAATATCACATGACGTCGTGAGTTTGACATGTCTGCTGTAGAGTGTGGAATCAAAAGGCAGGATCCAAAGCAAATAACTGAGACATGCTGAAGTATTTATTGTTTTATTGTGTACACTGGAGGAACTTCCTCCAAAGAATATTGAGAGAGATTCCTACAGACAAAAGGATACTCTCATACATTTCAGAAAGAAGGAGAAACAGGAATACATAAGCATAAGTAATAGGTGATGTAAGCATACATGTACCTAATTAACAATTCTCAGGTTATTTCCTGCCCTTCTATTGTTATTAACTTCAAAAAAGAATAATTGTTTTACAAAAACAAATATGTCATTAGATTGCCATAGAAATTTTTGATAAAGCTTGCTGTTAGCCAGTCATTCAAGGCTATCTTTCTCCATGTGTCTGTTTGATTAACACACATTCCTTCTATGTTACGTTTTATGTTTCTATCCTGCTGTCACACTCCTATTTCTCTAAGAATTTATTTTCCTTACAACAGTGATACCAAATTCTGATGTTACCTTAAATAAAACTTTTTAAAACAAACATATACAGACAGAGAGATAGACAGAACATCTATTAACATTATTTTATTTGACTAATAAAATGGAAAAATACGTGTCTTCTTTCCATTCTATTGCTTTTCATTTTTTTTAAATTGGCACGTTAACTTTTCAACACAGTAAAGTTATGATGCACTTCTAAATGTTTAAATATTAATTTCTAGAGTAGCTGTTGATACCTCGCTGTCTGATTTTTATTTGTAGGCAGCAGACCAGCAGGCAGCCATGTTCGGACAGGGCTGTTTTGATACAGGTGACGTAAAAATCTCCATGGGGACTGGTACTTTTTGGGATATTAATACTGGAAACAACATTCATGTATCTAAGAAAGGTAGGTTTATACGTTTCTGGTTGGCAGGAACAATTGTGGACACAACACAGTTTTTACAATGAAATAAAAATGATTATTGTATAAATACAATGTTTTATAAATTGAATCTTAATTTAAATTTAATTTTAAATGTATTTAATTTTATAAAATTTTATTTTATTAGAATTAAAATGATTAATATAATTAAGTATACTAATTATCAAGTAGTAATCAAGAAATCTATTTTAGTCATAGCACATGGATAACTAAAGTTTTAGAATTGAAAAGCTCTATTCCTAACTACATATTTTATCAGGTTTTTTCATTATTTATGCTAGTAAAAATAAATCTCAAAATATAATTCTAATAATTCCTAGAAGTACTTTTTTGTTCCAACTGATATAGGTTAAGTGTACTTATAGCTTACACCTGGTCATAAGAAAGAAAAAAGCAACACCAAAGTAAGAAAGATTTCCTTATGGAAAAGACTGAATATAGAAGATTCAATTCAACCTATAGTATAAAGACTATCAAAAATTTATAAAAATATGATTTGAATAAGATTCTCAAAATATTTCTAGGTTTAGGAGACCCCATGTAAATATGTTTCCACATTCGTTCAAATAATGGAAGAACATGTAAATATGAAAAGAATTTAGATTCTAATATAGCTTATTGCTGTACTGTATAATAAATCACGAATTATCTTATTAATATAAACTACAGATAATTCTCAATTTATGACCAGTTGATAGCATTTGATCAATGCTATCAACTGGATTGTTGTTTCACTGCACATCCAATTTGTTTTTCTTTAGGAAATAAGGAAGTCAGCCTTTCTCACAAATATGCCTTAATGCAGGGGTGTCAAACTCAATTTCATTGAGGGCCTCATCAGCATTACGGTTGCCCTCAGGGGGGTGGGTGGGTGTGGCCAGGGTGGGTGCAGCCTACTGGGTGGGTGTGGATGGAGTGGGTGTGGCCTACTGGGTAGGCGTGGTCAGCTCTACATCGTTCGCGTCAAGGGTGCCTGTGGGGGCCTGGGCAGGAGTGGGACAGATCTGAGGATCTCTGGCAGAAGGGGGTGGGACTGGGGCAAGTGCCAAGGCATGGTCCACTGGAGGAGCCTCAATGTTCCTCTCAGGCCATGCGAGGGGGGGTTGGTGGTGCAGGCTGCCCGGAGCCCTGGGCAGCAGAGGTCAAATGCCCAGCCTGACCCTTGAGCACCCGCGGCACCAAACCCAGCCCCACTTCCTCAAGGCTGCTACTCAAGGTTCTCCTGGTTCCTCGCTGTTTCCAGACGGCTTTGTGGAGCTAAGACTGAATGCGTTTCAGCATAGATGGCCACCACGAAATTGTACATTGGCACTCAGCTGGCCTGGGCCAGAGCCAAGGCAGTGGGAGCCGTTCCCTCACTGTTTCCAAGATGGCTTTGCGGGCCACATGAAACCATTTCGCGGGCCGCATCTGGCCCCCGGGCCTTGTATTTGACATGTCTGCCTTAATGCATTAGCAATTGGTCGAAGTTACCCAAAAAAGGAGACTTAGTATGTGGATTCAAAGTTCCACAGTTCCTGTGTAATTGTGTAATTCATAACAAAATTATTAGAGGAAATGTGAAATAAAAGTTAAGTATATCCACTGCTGCTTTATTTTTATTTATTTTTTTTGCAAAAGGATTGCCACAAGTTTCCACTAGTGTGGAAGAAGGGAAGGACTCTTTATTTATTCTTCCATCTCTTATAGAGAGCCTTAATTCTCTGGCTATATTTTCACAAGTTATAGGGGAATTTGGTGAACATTATTGACATGTCTTCTATTGGTGAAGGTTTGCATTGAATCAAAAGTTTTTCTGTGAATGTAATGGGCCTATTGTGGCATATCTTTGAAAAACTATGTTTTGTTATTTCAAGGCTTATATCCATTGGTTGGTTGGAAAATTGGGAATGAGATAACCTACTTAGCTGAAGGCAATGCTTCTGATACTGGAAATGCTATCAAATGGATTCAGAGTTTAGGTGAGTGTAATTATTGAAGTTGAATTATTTAAGCCTATGAATGATAAAGTAAAAAGTAAAGTAAAAAAATATTATCAGCATATTACTGGTTCTTATGTGGATGGATGAGGAAACTGTCTTTTTTCCTTTCAATAATTCTGAAGATGTAAATTATAGCAGTTGTTTTTTACTTTATTTATGATCCAATGCCAAATGAAACACCAGGTAAAGCAAATATGAATGCATTTAAAAGCTTGCATTTTATACTTTAAAACTGCATACTTTCAAAAGTAATGTTATACAATTAATAATATTGCCTGTACCCTGGCAGAAATATATTTTTAGATTTAGAAACCCTCTGACCCCCAAAAGATGTTTTTACTTTATCACCATGCAATAAAGGTTTTGCAAGATTTTACCACAGCATTTGCATCTGTATTGCATTTCAAATGGCAGATTGCATGCTAAGGAATAATGTCTTCCACAGTATCAAATAATAACATTCTGTATTGTAATCTGCACTGAAAGAAATTATCTAGCTATATGCTACTTATATTTAAGTGTAATACTAACTTGTTAAACTAAACACTAATTCTTCCATTTCCTCTGGCACAGACATAAAAAGTACACTTTTCTGCTACTCTTATTTCCATTTGACCATTTAGCTACTCCCACTGAATATGCAAACACTGCCAATAGTGAGAAGATGGAATAGCATTTAACATTTTCCTTTCTCAGGACAGTAAAGAAATGCACATCAATGACTTTTTAGAGAAACTGAAAGGGCCATTTAGATCACTTTGCCATAAAGAGGTGCACAACACCTGAAATGCTAGAATATTTTCCCATACAGGTAGTCTTCAACTTACAACTGAGCCCAACATTTCCATTGCTAAGCAAGGCAGTTGTTAAATGAATTTTGCCCCATTTTGCAACCTTTTCTGCCACAGTTGTTAAGCAAATCACTACGAAGTGAATCATGCAGTCATTAAGCAAATCTAGCTTTCCCCATTGACTTTGCTTGTTGGAAGCTGGCTGAGAAGGTTACAAATGGTGATCACATGACTCCAGGACAATGCAACTGTCATAAATACATGCCAGTTGCAAAGTGCCCGAAGTTTGATCTCGTGACCATGAGGATCCTGCAATGCTCATAAATGGCCATAAATCACTTTTTTCAATGCCGTCGTAACTTTGAATGGTTACTAAATGAATGGTTGTAAGTTGAGGATTACCTGTACTGAAAAGATAACTGAGGTAATCATCATAATTAAAGGAGCAGAAAGGACATATATTTTCTTGAAGTTCATTGATAATTATGTACAGAAGTTTCAGAGTTGTTGATACATGTTAATTCATATCTTGTCTGCTTGCACAGAACTTTTTGACAATGTTGAAGAGACATCACAAATGGCACATAGCCTAATAAGTTCAGGAGGAGTTTGTTTTGTTCCATCTTTTAGTGGTTTGCAGGTAAAAATACTGCCTTTGATTTATTTACTTAAGTGACTGTTTTTCTTTTAAGTAAGATTTTCTAAATTACAGATAGTCCTTGATCTACAACCATTCACTAGTGATTGTTCAAAGTTAGGATGGCACTGAAAAAAGTGACTTATGACCGGTGTTGACATTGTAGTATCCTCCTGGTCATGTGATCAAAACTTGGGCGCTTGGTAACTGGCATGTATTTACGACAGTGATCATACATTTATGATATGTAATCACCACTTGTAAACTTCCCAGCCAGCTTCCAACAAGCAAAGTCAGCGGGGAAAGCCAGATTCGCTTTATGATCGCATGATTCATTTAAAAATTGCTTAACAACTGTAGCAAAAAAGTTGCTCAACTCACTTAACATTTGCCTTGTTTAGCAATGGAAATTTTGGGCTCAGTTGTGATCATACATCAAGGACTACCTGGATATATTTGATTCAACTTTCATTATGTTCTACAATAAATACATATCTTATAGACTGCTTACTGCTGTTTCAATTTTCTTCTTCTTACTATGCTGCCTCTTATTGTCACATGTAAGCTTTTCTTTCCCTAATATTTCAGTCCTTTCTTGAACAATTGTCTATAGAACATATTCCTACATATTTTATTTTAATATCTATTTTATTTCAGATACCTATGAATGATCCTTATGCATGTACTTCTTTTATGGGGATCACACCTTGTACTACTAAAAAACATCTTGTTCGAGCTGTGTTGGAATCCATAGCTTTCAGGTACTTGGACATACCCTGTCAACATGGTTGGGCCTGTTCTCAGCATGCCCTTGTACTAGTTGTGTACACATGGGCATCCACACTAGCTACATACCAGCAGTCAATACAACCAATCATATTTGGTTTCTATTTTGTTCAGAATTCATAGTTTTTCCAAAAATTACAAAGATAAATGTACAATGTATCAATTTCCTTTGCAGTAGCTCTGCACTTTTGGATTTCTTCTTGGAATAAACTTGTTCACATTCAAGGGAAGGCAACCAACTCCCTTAAAATACAAGCATGTCCATATAAAAATACGAATCACTGTCATTATATTCCAGGACGCACAAACTATAAGCTCAAACCCTTGTTCATTCTAGTGACTTTTTGACATTTGCTTTGTATGCACATTTCTTTCCAGTACCCTGTATTTTCTCCCCATGTTCAAATCCACTTCTCCATTTGTATTTTGTTTTTGGCTCTCTATAAGATTAAGACAATAGATTACATAAATGGAATTTGTTTTGCTTTGTTCCTTGCTGATTAAATTTTAAATTCAATTTGAGCAACTAAAATTTAAATTATAAATTGGCTTTACGTTGTTTATATTACTTTTTGTTGGCAAATAACAAAATGTATGATCACTGCTATCAGTTAGCAGATGCAAAAATGGTTCAATATTTTGATTACTGAGAAAGCTACATTATATTAAATATATTGATCTTAATTATCACCTCTGCCTTTGTCATATAAAGCATAAGATAAAAACAGAATTCATATATTCTACTTTGGGAACAGTGGTTATCTGATATAATGACTATGGATAGACTAAGAATATATTGCTATTAGGTTTAGACTTTTATACTAATAACACTTTCAATAATAGGATCATTGGAATTCTCATTATATTTTCTGTCTTTAAAATTATACAAAACTATTTAGTTTATTAACTTGTTGACTAATACTTTTCCTGCTGACTTTTTATTTTTTGGGATTTTGTTGAATACCTGATGCATACTGCTTTAATCTTATGAAAAAAGTAACCTAAAATGTTTTAAAAGAAAGAAAAAACTATAGCTCAAAAATCTAGAGTTTTTGGTTTATTAAGCAGTCTAATTTATTTTACTATAGCTAATTTTAACTCCCTTTTAAAGATGTATTTAAATATCTAGTTAATTTTGATTGTTGTTCCTTATGACATCTTATGCTTCTAATATAATTGTTACTTACTATATTGAATTTCTCCCTCTGTTTTTCCAAGAAACAAACAACTGTATGATATCATTACAACAGAGTTGGGCATTCCGTCTGTGTCCATTCGGTATGTTTATATTGTATCCAAAATATTCAATGTGAATATGAATAAATATGAATTTATATATTAAATAAGTTTCGTGCATGAACTTTAGGGCCCAATGGTTAAGTCAGAGCCAGTATAATTCTGTTTTAGAGCTATTTCTTGCTGTAAGCTCTTGATCAAAAGATTTGTAGCAGCCGGTAGAATTGTTAACAAAACTATTGTTAGTCTCCTAGTGGTATTTGTGTACAGTAATATTTGTCAAACTGCTATTTTCCAATTTATTCTTTGGAAATCTAGGATATTAGTTTGGTAATCTTCTTGTAGGTACAAAGTATGAAATGGAAAGTAGTTAATGTTACCTTTAAGAATGATACATTTTATCAGAACAAAGTACATATTTGAGTATTACACTCATGGCTTGAGGGAAGCATTTCTACATATTACATCATACATTACATTTGCTTCCATTTCCCTTAGCTGTTCCTTTTTCAACTAGATTGAGCTAGACATTCTTCAAAGCATTGCCATGTCACCATGTTACATATTGCAGCATTGTATGTTTGCAGTATTCTAAGATTGTGGGTACAAGAATGCTGTACCTGTTGACAGAGAGATGCCTTTTGATATGCTGATAAATCCAACCAATAGCAATGCTGACTTTATTATCACTGTCAAGCTGGAAATAGGATCCTTCAGAAAGAATATTATCATGACAAAACCACGTTGAATATTTCTACACTGGTCAGTTGAACTACCTACTATTCAGCAAATGTGTGAATTTTATCATAACTGAATCTTATCCAGTTATTAAAGATTCCAAATCAGATTCTCCTCAGGTACTTTTGATGAAAATAAAATATAAAACTAAACAATTTCCAAGCATGAAAAATCTCTTGATAATTACACTCCGTTTTATTTAGAATTTAGAAAACCTAAGAAGCAACTCCACTAGCTACATAGTAGAATACCCATTTTGCATACCATTCTGATATTGCAGATGACAACACTGCAGTGTTTATGTTTTGTCTTTGGGGCATACAATTTAAATCATATATATTTTATAGAATTTGAATTCTATTTTTTTTCTCCCACCTCAATAGAGCTGATGGAGGCGTCAGTAAATATAGTTTTGTGATGCAGATGACTTCTGATTTAATCAATAAATCAATAAACAAGCCTGACAGTACAGACATGTCTTGTCTTGGAGCAGCTTTTCTAGCAGGCCTCACTATTGGTACGCTTTACTCTGAGTATCTGGGGGAATCTGTTTCAGGAGAAATGGTCATTTATTTTACATTGTACAAAATTGGCAAATAATAATAATATTTTTCAAGAGTATGCCATATAGTTTTTGTTACAGTCCATCAAGTCAACCCTTGGAGGTGGGGCAGGGGTAGTGGTGGTGGTGCAGCCTCCCTGCAGGCCACAGGAGAGCGCTGCAGTGGCCGTAATTTCAGAACTGGGTCATAAGTAGTGTTGGAGGGCGTCAGCAAAAACTTTGAATGGTTGCTAAGTGACTGGTTGTAAGTCAGGGACTACCTCTATAAATTCACAAATTGTTTTAGTTACACAATCAGATATCTCTGAAGCAGCCAAGGAAACCTTTGTTTTTAAAAAAATATTTTGCAATCATTTGAACAAGATAGAACAGAAACTGCAGTAGTACGTCTCTCTTAATGTTGACTATATTATCCATTTGTTGGTTGGTTTGTTTAAAAATACTTACATAGCTGCCTGTATTGTAGCAGCAACACTGGGGAGTGCACAAAACATTAAATCAACAGAAACCTCCAAACCATAAAATAAAAATCAATTACAATTCTATTAAAAATATGGCACTTTATGCCAACACTTTCCTATACATCCCTGCACCATCTTCTGCTCCAACCTCATCCTGCCTCAACACTTGTGGGAAGAGTTAGCTCTCCAAACATCTGGAAGACGAGGAGGGCTGGGGGCATAGTGGATTCCTGGGAGAAGGGTGATCCATAGGGCAGGTGCACCTACCCACAGAATAGATAATTCTGCAGAAAAAACCTATAGATGATTATTTAATAGATTTATTCTGCAAGTTAGTTCTGCAATATGAAAAATATTCCAAATATTTAAACATTGTGGTGTTTATATTCTTCAAACTAGATTTATATATACCCCTACACACGTTTTAATACAGAAATTATGGTCAACATAAGAACAACTATTTTATATCTTTTTGTTTATTTTTTAGGATTTTGGACTGACAAAGAACATCTGAAGAAGTTGAGGCAAACTGACATGGTTTTTAAGCCACAAAGGGAGCCAGAGGAGTATGAACCTGCTATGAGTAATTGGATAAAAGCTGTCTGCCGTTCTCTCTCTTGGTATAGCCAGCCATCTCAGTAATTAATATTGTTTATATGTTGGACAATGTAACTAGCAACTTTATTTCTGCTTTAGACTTAATTGTACTAAGAAGTTATTGTTCTCGGACAATATTCAAGCAATACAAAAAGTCTCCTGGAATAGTAGTGAGCCCCAGGTAGTAGTCAAGAGACTCAGTGTCAGAGTGTATTTTTCTAAGCGATGATTATTTATAATGGACAAACTTGATTTTATACATGAGATCAGTTTGCAGGAATGTTCAGATATTTGTTGGCAGAGATTAAGCCTAGTGCTATGTTGTATATTTACCTAAGAATCCATCTTACACTAATTCAGATCTATAATCAATTCAACTCAGTACTCACTTGTAGAAATTCAGGAGATTCCTAGTTTTAGGAAAAACTAGAAAATATCGAGAGTCTTCGACTTACAAAAATAATTGGGACCAGAATTTCAGTTGCAAAGTGATATGGTCATAACCGGACCCAATTTTATTAATATCTTTACTGTGGTTGTTAAGCTAATCATGTCATTAAGCAAATCATGCAGTCATTAAGTGAATCCAGCTTCCCAGTTCACTTTGTTGTCAGAAGTTGGCCAGGAAGGTCATAAATCGCAGTTGTGTGACTATAAAATGCCGCAACCATCATAAATGAGAGCCAGTTGCCAAGTGCCCAAATTGTGTCCACAAGCTGGCACAAGCAGTTGTAATTTCAAGGATGGGCTTTAAATCACTTTTCTTCCAAGGCGGTCACAACATCAAACCATCATTAAACAAAAGATTGTAGAACAAGGATTACCTGTAAATTTGTAAACTTTATCTTGGCATTTGAAAAATATTTTGTAGTGAAGTGAAATTAATTTTGTCTCTCAGAGATTTCTGAGCCATGTATATGGTACTTTCTCTGTTTCTTGAGCCAGAACATAATTAGGATAGTGAATTATATTTCATCTACATTTTATACATTACCGATTATAGTAATTAGATTACTTTGTGTGAATTATAGGACTGATCTATATCAGGTCACAAGAGTCAGAAAGGTTTAAAGGTCCCTCCCCTCAAAAAAAATATAAGCCAGTTCTCTGGTAGAATATTCATTATGTGCTATTTAATTGAATTAACTATTTCTAAATATGTATATTTGATATATTGTGGTATTCTCAATTAGATATTGATTAATTTGAACCACTACTCTGTTCAAGCAATCTGTGCAATAATATTGTATACCTAAGAACTATATTTTATGCTTACATTTTCATAATACGTTTTCTACATTGAAACTAGCTGTTACAAAGTGCTAAATCAAGACTGCTTTAATTTATACTGTGATCTACTACTTCAGATGTATGTACTTGAGTACTCAATTGTTAATACAAGTTCCAATCTCAAAATATTTTGAAACTATAAATATAACAGACTGATTCTCAGTGTATTGAAGTATGGCATTTAAGACGAATCATTGCTTATGAATAGTTTTATGTCCTTGCAAGTATTGTCCTATGCTGTGAAAATGGTAACTCAGAAAGGAATTGGGTCCCAATAGAGAAAAATATTTTTCTACTTAATTGCTTTGAGCTGAATTCTCCTAGGTCTCCAATTTCTTCAGTAAGGTACTGTTATGTTTTTTTCTGACTTGGGTGCAGCTCAGTGGATTTTATTCCCAAATGAAGAGTTACAGAATTGCAGCCTGAAACTTTTAACTTTAATTGCAATAAAATGTAATGTCTCTTTTAAGCTGACCTTTGATTTCAGATGACTTAATGGATACATCTATTCTATTTGACTTTCTAGGCAGCAATAGAGAAATAGTTAACACTGCTTTCTCTGAGGTATTTCAACTTCTCAGACCATCCGTGGACCTGGAATTTCTGCGAAATCTCCCATCCAAATAGTAACCAGGCCCAACTCTGCTTAGCTTCAAATGCCACACCAATACATTCTAAGCTTCTCAAATTTTCCTTTATGTTATTAAGGTTTATAGTTAGCAAGACCAAGAAACAAAAATGACATGTTTCAGGGTGGTTTCTATAAAACAACTCTGGGTTAAATACAAATTTTTGAAGTCCCCATCTTGATAATACTCAATTAGTCTTTTTAACATAACATTTCTGTCATGACTTTCACATTGAGCTGCCTTTTTTGAGGTAAAGTTTCTAAAACCATATCCTCCACTTTTCTACAATGGCCTATTGCAATCTTTTAGCATACAGTAGTCCAATGTAAAGAATAAATCTCATTTCGTGTACGCTTTATGAACAAAGTACATACAGTAAGATCACAGTTCTCTGTTCTGACATAAGTGAACACAAATCCTGAAATTCTGATTAAGTCTATATGATACAAAGGAACACAGAAAATTATGTTTAGACAGAAAGATGAGTATCTTCTTCAAACAGAAATTATATCTCTGAAAAGAAGGAAGCCATAATATATGACTTGTATCCAAGGGTGTTTCAACACAAGATTTTTTATCTTATAATGGTTCCATCTCATAGAATTTTATATAGTCTATAGTGCTTCCAATTGTAATATCCTATACTCTCCCGCTGCTTTCTTTTATAGCAAAACAAAATGCTGACAAGAAAAAAACAGCTGCATAGAGCACGACCATCACTTTTTGATGATCTTAACACTTAGTTGATATAGCAAAATTCAAGACGGCATGGATTCTTTTGGCAGCTGCAACACACTGCTGGCTCCTACTTAAATCTACTAGGATGCCCAGATATTTCTCACCAGTGCTACCATCCAGCCAGGTATGCACTATGATGTTCCTATGTATCTCTTTAAGTGCAGAATCTTACTAAGAAGAGAAAAACTGACAAAATATCACCCTTGTATAAGATCTTGAAATGGGGAACAATCTGATATATTTTTAAATCAGGAAACATTTGTATTGATTTGTATTGACCTCTTTCTTTTTAGGTAAGAATATATTGTATCTAGCAATGATGAGCAATTAGATTTCAGATCCTCTACTAGCATGCTATCAATGGAAATCAATTTTCTATCAGTGAACATTTTGGAAACTCCCCTACGTTTTGTATTGATTCATAAATATATTTACAAGTACAATATGGAAGTTTGTGAAACAAATGTGTATCTTTTGTTTTTCCATCTCTTTTCAGTTGCCATTTTAGTTATTCCAGCAAGAGACAAATTAGACCCTTATAGAGGCTTTGTTTACACAGTAAGCTAAACCAGTGGTTCTTAACCTTTTTGAACGAATCGCCCCCTTGAGCCAATGAGTAAGTTGTCATCGCCCCCCCGTCCCAACATAACCTCTTAATTGCAACATAGGAAATAATTCTTCAATTTATGCAAACACTTTTTTTGTTTTCTTTAAAATTGTCATCAGGACATATTGATGCAAATAATTTATTTCCAGTCTTTTCCCCATATCTCAACTGTGTGAAAAATTTTGGTGCTATCCATCACTTCATTCCCAAACTTCGTGATACATGTATTTCATTATTATCTTATTTATTCAAGACACTTAAATGTAATGACCACTGAAAACAAAATTCAGTTGCAAGAAAGTGAAGTGCCCAAAAAGGAAAACAGTAACATTTAATGATTGAATTACAAGTGAAATTTAAGACGCAAAAAGAAAATGAAAAGGGCATAATAGCAAACCGCAATGCAGGAACTAAGAATTTCAAGACGAAAACTCTGAAACTAAATTAATATTCGAGGAAAGTATATATAGTCACACACACTGTAAAAAGGATTAAAAAGACACAAAGAAAATTTAATATTGAACTGGAGTGCACGCTAAAAAAGTACAATACAAAGAGACACACAAAATGTTTTACAGAGCATAACAAAAATTCAAAAACGAAGCAAATACAACGATAAAAGCTCAGTCAATTATTAATGAAAAAATGTATGTACACAAAAAGCAAAAAAAAGAACATCAATGGCTGCCTTGTGCTTGGTGAGCTGATGCTAATTTCTTGATGTCTGGAACCATTTTTGTTAATCGCATTCTTAAATCTCCGTGCTCAGAGATCTTCAACTTGTTCCTTGATTTAGAAAGGATCTGTTGGACAGCGCTGAAGCCCCTCTCCACTAAGTAAATGGAAGGAAAGGCTAAAAGAAGCAACTTAACTTCCTCCCTCAATATTGGGTAAGTGTTCCTCATTTTCAGCCAAAGAGCTTCGTAGCCATAACTCTGAAAATGTGACTGGGCTTCACAGTCATATTTCAGATCTGTCAGTGACTCTTGCAGTTTGGGGTGAAGTTGTGCAAAATCTGCTGTGAAAGGATTTAGCACCCAAGTGGGCACTTCCAGATTTATCAGACCATAGAATCTGGTTTCCATATCTTCTTTTAGTTGCTTCAAGTGGCAGCAAAAAACATCCAAATCTTCTCCTTGGAGTTCACATTCATTACCAAGGCTTGGGAACTGATACAGCTCCTGGCAACTCATATTGCTTGCAAGGAGGTCCAATTTGGAAATAAATGAGCAGATTACTCCCTTGGCCTTAAGAAAATTGATTTTATCTCCTTGCAGCTTTACGTTCACTTCATTCAGCTTGTCAAAAACATCAGCGAGATAAGCTACTTCCAGACGTCGAAGTTTAAGAGAACTGCTTAGACTTGGGTCAGTGGATTCAAGAAATTCGACAACTGTGTCAAAAAGTTCGTGGAATCGCCACAAACACGTTCCTTTTGAAAGCCACCTTACTTCGATGTGCAAAAGGAGACGTTCAAACTCCATGTCATTTTCTTCACAAAGCTTGTGAAAAAGTCGGTTGTTCAAGGCATTCGACTTAATTTTATTCACAGCATTAATGATGTAATGTAGAGACTCGTGCAAATGGCCACTCAATTTTTTTGAGACAAGGTGCTGTCTATGAACGACACAATGGACAGTCATAACTCCAGATACAACCGATTTTAGATGAGCTTGAAATCCGCGATATCGTCCAACCATGGATGCAGCTCCATCGGTTGCACATGCCACGATGTTTGTCAAAGGGATGTTTTTCTCATTAAAAAACTCTTCAACCTTTTTAAAAATCGAAGAATCTTTTGTGTCGGTGGCTAAATTTCAAACAAATAACAGTTCTTCCCCGATCTCTTCATTTCTGTTGATGAAACGGACATAAGCCAATAACAAGGCTTCATTTTCACGAATCGTTGACTCGTCAATCTGCATCACGAATTCTGTATTTTTCAAGGTATCAATAAGCCTTTCTTCCACATCAGCAGCCATTTCATCAATTCTTTTTGATACGGTGTCATTGCTCAAAGGAATCGATTGCGTGATAGTGCTTGCGCTGGGCCCCAACATGGTGGCAATAACCTGTTTCACTGCTGGTAAAATTAGCATTTCTGCAATAGTGTGAGGTTTGCCACATTTTGCTATCAACAAAGATACTTCATAGGAACAAATGAGCCCCTTGTCGGCGTTGAGTGGCGATTTTCCAAATAACTTGGCCTTTAAGGATTGGAAAAACGATGCCGGTTTGTCGGCTTTATCCAAATGAATTCTTACCAAATGTTCTTTCAGTCAGGAAGGCTTCATTGCTTCATTTGAAAATGTTTTCTCACAAAGAAGACAAAACGGAAGCTTTAGGTATTCCGTAGAATATTGGCGACACTTCCTCTTCTCGGCCATGTTGAGAGGTCTTCAAAATGAAAGGCACTACCTGCAAATTAAATTTTTGACTCCATTGGAACACTAGAAAAACACATGTGGATGTCGATAAATCTAGTTTCAACAGTTACGTTGACATTGCAGGAAGCCCCTAGAACAGGGGTAGGCAACCTTGGCTCTTTTATGACATAGCTGGCTCAGGAATTCTGGGGGTTGAAGTCCACGAGTCATAAAAGAGCCAAGGTTGCCTACCCCTGTTCTAGGGGCTTCCTGCAACAAAACAGAGGCAGCATTTTGATAAATCTGTGCAACAAGTTCATTAATTCATTTATTCAATTAATCAATCAATTTCTGTAGCTGCCCATCTCAGCCAAGTGACACTGAGTAACCTACAATTCTAAAAACTATATTTATTTTTGATTAAATTTATTAGCTACCCATCTCACCATTCAAGATGGTTTTCCCCTCCATGCCGCTATTTTTGTAAACACAAACCCCTTTCCAGCTGCTGTATTGTGAGAGCATCTTCAAATTCCAGAAATGTTCCCATGTCCCCCCCCAAAAGGGGGTCCAGAGCCCAACCCTCTTTGAATAGCAGAACACAGAAGCAAAGCAGCACTAAGAACAAGAGTTTCAATTTTCTTAGCCCAACAGATTAAAATGGAACGCCCACTGATAAACTGCTCATAACTTTGATTTAGTCGCCAGTGGCTCTTAAACTTTGCAATACTGCAGACCTCTTAAAATGTGAAATGCATTTATATAAACTTTCATTTCTCTCCCCCAGAATAAAGCTAATAATTTTGTGGATGTGAGGGCTGGGCAAGGTTTGAATATTCAGAGACTTTTAATAATTACATTTTAATCTATATATCACAGGGATAGTCAAGCTACATAAAAGCACAACTGCTAGCTTGAAATGAGTGAAAATGAGAGCTTTTCAGGGGGAGTGCTGGCTGTGTTTTCACTGTGCCTTTAGAGCAGATTGGGTGGGTGGTCAAATCTTTTTTCTCTCTCTCTTTCCTCTTTCTCTCTTTTTCTCTTTCCCCTCTCTCTTTCTCTCTTTCCTCTCCCTCCCTCCCCCTTCTTTCTCCAGGTGAGGAGGGGAGAGAGGCACTTATGCTTCCTCTCTTT